GACCAGAAGGTATTCTTATAGTAGACCAGGAGGTCTTCATTTTGAAGAACATGAGGTCATCCAGACCAGAAGGTCTTCTCATAGAAGACGAGAAGGTCTCCTCATAGAAGACGAGAAGGTCTTCTCATAGAAGACGAGAAGGTATTCTCATAGAAGACGAAGTCTTCTCATACAAGACGAGAAGTTCTTTCAAGGACATATCTCCAAGGACTTTCTATAAAAACCACAAAATCCTAAGGGATTCATAAAATGAACCTCCTCCAACAATTGTCCTTAGTTCTGTCACCATATTAATAATTTAAAAATTATTAATGTCCTTCAAAATATGGCACGCCTGTTGCCCCCGTTATGCAGCTCAACTGCAGTTGGCAGCAATGCAATGCAAATTATTTACTCTTTGTTTATGTTTCTGGTGCAAGGCGAAGAAATGTCTTCGAAATGTAAACAACAAACCGTTCACACTCAATGCCAATGGTGGTACCACACCCTTCTGCTTCGTCCCCTACATCCTTCGGTCTTCAATGGCCTAACTATGTAACTAAGGCAGGCAGGCAGGCTGGCTGGTAAGCAGTCAGGCATGCAGGACCACAAAGGAAATCCTTTGTTGTCTGTGATGATCCTGCTGCTGAGCCAACTAAAAAAGGAATCATGCCATGCATGAGGTAAACCTCAACATTATGGAACTGGTTTTTGTTGCTCCCGTTGTTGTTGTTTTCGAAAGTGACATTCAATAAAACCGCTCTAAGCCACTTACCTCATAACAGAAGAGTAGCAGTTGCAAGCATCTGCAGCAGTTAAGTCACTGCAACAAGGACTCTTGCACTCTCTCCGATGGTGAGCATACAAAGGCATTGAGTCCAGCAGAGGCATGTGTGTATGAGTGTTGCACTAGGTTTGATGTGTGTGAATGTGTTGCACGTCAATGTTCGATTATATAATTTCTTGTTGCGGAAATTGCCATGAACAGAGTGAATACACACACAGATACATTTATGCATAATTCTAAAGTTTTAATTTTTTCTTGGCAGTCTATACACGAGGTGTATACACACAATAATGGACAAAGGAGAAGAGAGAGAATGTGTGAGAGAGAACAGTAGACATTTAAATCATTAACAGTAAAAGTTAATGTCCTGCTGGTATTGAATCATTGAGAAATGAAGAGAGAAACCACCATTTGGAGAGAGGGAGAGAATTGTTGTATTTCTCTTCAAAAATGTGTGTTTACATTTTTGCGTCCTTTATCTCTCTCTATATATATGGTTAAATACTCTCTACAAAACAGCTTTTATCTTGAGTAATATCCTTGAGAAATTCTTGAGCTATTACTCAAATTTTACTTTCAACTCAAAATAATCAGCATTTGAGTTGAGCTACGGAGCTATTTGTTTCGAGTGTTTATTCCAGAGATGGGAAATTTTCAAAATGTACTAAGAATATGTACTTCAAGCTATAATGGAATTATAAACAGTAAAGGAAACATAAGTTTTTAACGGATAATACTATTCAAATTATTTTTACAAAATCCCGACTTCTGGGAATGAATTACTCGAAACAAGTAAAATAATCAATAATTTTGGACGGGCCGAACATTCAAACCCTCCACCATTAGGTAAAAAAACATTTTTAAATTAATGTATCTGGATTCAAAAGTGTTAAAATTTAATTTGCAAATTCCGGTGAGTTCGGCTGAAGAATGCAGTTAAAGTTTTAAAATACAATAAAGTGAGAGGAACCAGTTTATAGGAATCATACCTAAACGGGATTGTTCTACTACATATTGAAATCTTCTGTTATATATTTCAAGTATTGAATACTTAGAGCTCCCGTAAGAAAAAAGTTTATATTTTGGGAATTTATGTGAAGTAGATCATACCAACTATGAACCTTATTTTAATGCGGATCATGGTTATAAAGTAGTCACAATATGGGGACTATATCCAACACTGATTCGATTTTCAACAAATTTGACAAAGGCTTTTGTACCTCTAGTACCAAATAACATTGCTGTATAGTGTATTTTATGACTTCGATATAAATTATATTACAAAATATTTATTGGAGCACTATACAGGGTGAGAAGAAAAAACTGCAACCAAATTCAGACTGCTGTCATTTCTAAGCCACTCGTCCGACAACTGTTAAAATTATTCCAGTGACAGCTCATTATATTGTTTACAAGCGTACAAAAGCATTTTGGTGAGAATTTTCCAGAAAAAAAGTTATTCGTGATGGAATTCAAGGGTGATAGTGTGATTCCTTTATATTTGGCTGGAAAACCACAAGTGGCTATCGTTAGAGCACTCCAGCATTTAAATGTGCATAAATCTTTTGTGTCTCGTACCATCGCTCGTTACAGTGACGCTGGTAGCGTAGCTCGATATCAAGGAAGTGGACGGAAGAAAACAGCAACATCAGAATAAAATAGTTAGAAAAGTAAAGAAGCGACTTGATCGAAACCCGCGTCGTAGTGGCCGAAAAATGGCTCGTGAGCTGAACATATCGCAATATTCCATTCGGCAAATCGCAATCAAAAAATTAGCTCGGGGTAAATGCATTGAAATTCCAAAAAATGCAAGAACTTACACCGCAACAGAAAGAAAATAGACCGAAAAGAGCTAAAGAGTTGCTTCGCTTGGCGGAAAGCGGTGAACTGCCGAATTTGATTTGGTGGTCTCCTATGAGAAGACATTCGTTGTCCAGCACTTAGTAAACAAACAAAATGATCGTGTTTACTTGCCGTAAAGGTCAGCTGAAAATGTGCACCTTCGGTTGGCCACCAGAACTCAAGCACTGGCCATGGTGATGGTGTGGGCCGCCATAACAGCCGATGGTCGCTCTCCGCTCGTATATATCGACCGTGGAATCAGAACAAATGTAGAATATAATCGCGAAAATATTCTGGAGGGTGTATTAAAACCTTGGGCGTGCAAACATTTTGGCCGCAGACCTTGGAATTACAACAGGACTCAGCACCATCGCACTCAGCACGCGCCACCCAAGAATGGTTACAAAATGAGGTTCCTCGCTTCATGTCCAGCGCAAAATGGTCACCAAAATCTCCGGATACCTTGGACCTCCGAATAACCTTGGACTATTGTGTCTGGAGTATTTTGGAAAGCAGGGTTGCCACTAAAAATACCAAATTGTCGATCACCCCAAGCAAGCGCTTTGCCGGGAAAGGGCTAAAATACCGCAGAGCAACATTCGGTCAGCGTGTGACGGTTTCATTGGCCGGTTGAAGGTCATAATTCGTGCCAAAGGTGACCAATTCGACCAAATCTAAACTTGTTCTAAAATTTGATGCTTTTTCCGATTTTTTTTGCTTTCATTCGATAAAATTTTAAAAAAATGCAAAAATGATAACGTTTGACTTTTTTGCAGTTTTTTTCATCTCACCCTGTATATGGGAGCTATAGCTAAATTGAAGCGCTCGTTTTTAGGATGAATTCAGTCGGAATTGCCAAGATTCAGTTCATTTGGACTGATATTACCCATTTGGTGCAGTATAAACCTGATATCAGATAAAACATATATATGGAGCTATAGCTACATTTGAACCGATAAATTTGATGTGCTTGATCCGGTCGGATGTGCCAAAATTCAGGTCATTTGGACTGATATTGGCCATTTGGTCCACTATTAACTCGAAATCGGTTGAGGATATATAAGGGAGTTATATCTAAATTCGAACCGATTCTACCCAATTTCAAAAGGATTGGACCAAACAAATATTGTTTGGAAAATTTCATCTCAATCGGATAATAAAGGCTAATTGCATTTTATTTACAAAAATACATGGACAGACGGGCAGGCGGACGGTCGGACAGACTGACATGCATAAATCGACTCAGAAAGTTATTCTATGAAGATCCTCAAAAGTCACTATGGATCTATCTCGCTTCCTTTTCCATTTTACAAACAAATGCACAAAGACAAATGTCCTTATCACTTTGTGGTGTAGGGTATAAAAAGAAAGATTTCCCGCCGTTATATGTGTGGACCTTCCGCATATATTATATATTTCCTTCCCTCTGTTATAAGTCTCTATTTTTTAAGGGAAAGAAATCTAAACACAAATTTACTTTTAATTGCATAGAAATATCGAATATCCGAATATACTGTTATGTAGCAACTATGCCACTGATGGAACGATATAAGAGATTTTCAGTACCAACCAATTTTCAAAGCTCTTTCTTAAATAATATGGGCTGGATTTTAAATTTAACAGAGAGGCAGGCAGAAGGATATCGTTAAATCGACCCATCTAACAATCACGAATATGTATTATCCTTTCCACTGTGGAGGAGCACAACCAGGAAAAGCGAACAAAGGCGAGGACTTTTCACTGTGGTCGGATGAAATCCTGAATAAAACTACAATTTGTTTTTCTGTTGTTTTTTAAGATGTTTATTTTTTATTTCAATCACAGCACAGAATACAGAGATTTTTTTGATGAAATTGAAACGAAACGATCGATGGAGGAAATTAAAGGTAAGAAAGTACAAAAAAAGGTTTATGTGTACCGAGACATATATTGAAAGTAATAATGATAGCAGTTTTGAGATGTGAGACAGAACGGGTTCATTATAAAGAGTGGAAACGGAAATGATTCGATTATTCATTTGAGAAACTATACTAACAAGCTACACTTTGTTTTTTCAAATACAAAAATCATTGGTTTTTGGTTTACTTTTCAACATTATCAATAACTTGAACTACAGTTGTTTGTTTTTTTTTTTTGTCTTTCATTTAGGATTTGCTAGGATTTCTATAGGACAATTATCTTTTTTTTTTTTTTGGTTTTCTTTTAATTTGGTTATAGTTTTCATTTCGCAGCTTGCTAAATTTCATTTTGTTGAATTAGACATTTAGACGACAGTAAAGTCTGATATAAATAGTTGTTGTTGTTATTATTGTTTTGTATATAGGTAGGGGTATGTATGAACGTGTATGTATAGACATTTTTGTAGACATAGATAGATTTCTGTGATTCTTTCTTTTTATGGACATTTAGTATTGAAATTGTTGCTTTAGTTTTTTTTTGTATTTTATTGTACACATAATCTCAAAATTTCATGGAACGTTTAATTTATTTTTAATTTTTTTTTATTTCTTGTGTTTCCAAATATTGTTGTAATTTTATATTAGTTTCTGTAGTTTGTTGGATAGGTGAGTTGTTAATGATTGTATTTTGGCTTTTTTTGGTATCGAAAATGTTGAAGGTAGAGATTTATTATTTTATTGATTTTTTAAACGATTTAGAGCTGTGTGGTTTGTTGTGAATATAAGTGAATAAGTGGACCTTAATGTATAAGTGGACCCAACTGAAAACTCAGTGTCCTAAACACCGAGATATCTGCTGAATTGAACAGAAGTTATACAGGGTTTCTACTGTACCCAGATTACGATCTCTAAATACTTTTAAGGAAAAAAGGTCAGCCTGAACATTAAAAAATTGACAATGGAGAAACCGGCATTAAAATACTAAAACAATACTCCTTTTTTTTTCTTGAGTATCCACCTAGTGAAATCTCAACCGCAGCCATCTTTAATAATCGTAAAAATACTTCGAAATTTCTGAAGTTTTGCCTTGTTAAGGTCAAAATTTTTTTCCTTTATTTTTCTTGCAAGACGAGCTTAATGATCTGAAATTTGCAGTGAAGAAGAAAACCAGATTATTGAGGCCCCTGATACTAGTTAAAGCCATGCCACTCTTTTTTAATGATATATAAACGTCTTCTCTGCCGACGGTTCAAAAATGGAAAGTGAAACGGGAGCTGGTGTCTTCTGTAATACCCTTAATGTTCGTGAATCCTACAAGCATGGAAACGACTGTAGCGTATTCCAGGCGGAAAACCGTCAAAAAGGCCACAGACCTGCTGGTCACTAGGAATAGTGGGGTTAGCGGTCCGGTGACTATATACGTCGATAGTCAGGCGGCACTGAAGGCCTTAAATTCCTACACCATTAAGTCTAGGGTTGTTTTGAACTGCAGAAGAGCCTTGAAAAACACTGGGTTGTCCATCAAGCTCTGTTGGGTTCCTGGTCATTATAATATTCCAGGCAGCGAGACAGCAGACGAATTGCCCAGGCTAGGATCCGAATCAACTACTATTGAAGTAGAGAACTCGGTTAAACCACCCCAGTCCCACTTCCTACAGGTTAATCACAGACACTACTCTGAGAGAATCCAATAAAAATGGCTGGACGAAAGGGATTGTACATCTACAAAAGAATCTGTCCCATACTCTCGGAGAAGAGAACAAAGTCGATAATGTCATTGTCGAAACCTGATTTAAAACTTGTGGTGGGTATAATCACACTGACCCTACAGTAATTCTTCAATTAGCCAGAACAACTTTATAATTCAATCTTCACTCTCTTCCATTCCCCTTTCCTTCTTTTACTATTCTTTCTAGGATAAACACAATGGACCAGTAGGTCTCCGAGTGACTTAACTTAGCCTAACGTCTTCTCTCCCAAAAACCGTAAAAAGAAGGTGGATGGTTTGGTTGAAGCTTCGCAGCTTATGACCTTCGCTTTGAATGGGGTGGACTCAGAGGATGAAATTCAGGCTGTAGTTGTTGTTGTAGCAGTAGTAGATGTAAGTGTTTGCGTTCTGCTAATTTGGTTCAAGCTCCAGGTTTAAAAATTCAGCTACTTTAATGGGCTGTAGTCAGAGATCTTCTGGAGTGAGTTGGGTAGGTTTGGCTGTGCAATTACACGCCGGGTAGACGTCACACACATCATCAACTCGTGCCCAATATGAATTGAGACGACTACACCATCCTGAACGTAATTGCGCCACAAACTACCCTGGTTTGTCTAGGCAACTGGTGTTCTTCAGCTGCAATGGTCCTTAGGTCCTTCCTGACACGCCTGGGTCGGAGTTCTGTCCACCATATATTGACTTGGATGACTCACACGGTAATGCCCAAGGAAATATAGCATATAACTATGCTGACATAGGGGAAGAAACCATTTAATGACCCACAGAAATCATGAGAAGGTTTTCAGTGGGGAATTCTGACAAGTCTGAAACATATAACTTTAACAGGTAATTGATTGGAGCTGTTTTTAATTATACCCTACAACACAACAACGGAATTTCGCATGTAGCTAGAGTTTAGGGCGGGGAAGAAGCCTACCAATTTGGGTGGTCATCGGATAATATTTAGCGGGTAAAATAGGTCATATCTTTTTTGTTAAAAAAATTCAAAATTTTTCATTAAATCGCGAATATTTTAAATCCCGGCGAAATCACAAAGCCATGACAAGTTTACTTCTGATCTTTACATTGATGTTAACATCCAACAAATCGGATATATAGAAAAATAAGTGCGATATATATGTCTATCAAAGAAGATATGCTTGAAAAATCTCTTATATGTCGAGAACGGCTGAACTGATTTCCACAGTTCTCATTAATTCAGAATGGCCTCTTGACAGGAAGAAAAAACGTCTAAAAAAATTGCATAAAAATATCTCTCTAAAGATGAAAATATTGATTTTGTAATATTTTCTCATATTTTTTTCAATTTTGTCATATTTTTGGCATATTTTCATTTTGAATAAAACATTTGATAATATTTCTACAGCTAACAAAACTAAGTAGTTAGGATATCAGGATATCATATACAGATCGCATTTATGGCCCGATCCTTACGAAATTTTGCATGGAGATAAGATGAGGGTCAGAATAGAAGCTTACTCTTTTTGGAGATGATCGCCATATATTTAGGGGTTAAAATGGACCAAAAAACTGCAAAATTGTCTGCAGGTCGTAATTATCGCCCGATTCTCACGCACATTTGAATGGGGGTTACCGGACATTACAAAAGCCAAGCAGTTTTGGATGGCCATCCAAAAATATTCAATGTGTGAAATAGTTTGCCAACTTTTGTAGACAAAATACGAAAATGTCCATTCCAGTGACTTTTTGGAGAATTCACAAATACAGGAAAGACGCACTTCAGACTATTTCGTTAACGCTGATTTCGTTGAAGAACATAGTCAAATGTCTGTATCTCATATAGATGCGTTTCAGTCAAAAACCAATAATAAATGTTAATCTTTTGCCACTTCTGAGAAATTATAGGTCTTTGGGAAATATTGGTTCCTCATCTAGGAAGACCATTTACATGAAACATCTACCAATAAATTGGAAATGAGCAAATTAGTTTAAGTTGCTATTATTCGAAAATTAGAGAACGGAACCTGATGGTTTTCTTTTATTATTTGTCACAATATCTTGTGGAATTCTTTCGAGTATCTCGCCTATATAAACTGTATTGTTTATTATAGTGTTGTAGGGTATTCAACGGTCGGCCCCGCTCGACTGTAGCCTTTGCTTTGTTTTTTTATAACAACGAGGGAAATTGAAGAAGAACTTTTAATACCCTCCATCACTTTGAAGGAACTGGAAAAATATCAAAAAAACCTGTCGAAAATATGCTTAAAGAAAAACTGTCATATGGGGGCTTTACGAAGATGTGGTCGGGCAAAAGTAAAAATCTGTCGAAAATACTGCTCAAAGGAAAACCGTTACATAGGGACTTTACGAATACGGTGGGCTAAATGAAAACGTGTACCGACATAGGCAATTTTCCGTCATAATTTGAAACAATTCCGCTGAATGATTTTCCTATAATCATGAAATTTCCGAATATTGGGAGGTATCATTATGTGGGGGCCATACGGAGACGTGGACCTGCATACACAATAGATTGTAGTACCCGATACGAGCTTCAAATACGAAATTTGAAAGAATTCCGGTCAATAACGTCCCTATAACCATCAAACTATCGAATATCGGAAGGTATCGTTATATGGGGGCCATACGACGTGGACCTGCGTACGAATTTTTTCTCACCCATTACTAGCTTCAAATACAAAATTTGAAAAAATTCCGGTGAATAATGTCCTTATAATCATAAAAATACTGAATACAGGGAGGGAAATTTGATACAATTCCGGAAAATAATATCCATATAATCATCAAAATACCGAATGCTGGGAGGTATTGTTATACGGGGCCTATACGTAATTTTTTGTGGTAGGCTCTAGTACCCATTACGAGATTCAAATACGAAATTTGAAAAAAATTCCGGTGAATAATGTCTTTAAAATCATCAAAATACCGAATATCGGGTGTACCGTGGTATGGGGGCTATACCATATCGTGGACCTTTATAGGCAATTCTCTTCCAGAGGGTAAAGTACTCAGAAGGAACTACTTGTGAGGATTTTTAGACAATTCCATTGAAAAATGTGGCTATAATCATCAAAACACCGAATAGCGGAGGTACCGTTGTATGGGGACCATACGATATCGTGGACGATATAAAAGACTGATCTGTACAAAATTGTAGCTTTATATCTTAATTCGTTTTGACTATAGCGTGTTTACAACAGACGGACAGGGCTAATTCTTCTTAGAATTTTACTCTGATTAAGAATATATGTACTTTGTTGGGTCTAAAACTATTATTTCGATGAGTTACAAACGGAATGACGAAATTAATATAACCACCCGCCATACTATGTACGATGGAGGGTATAAATAAAGATGGGACCTATTGACCTGTCACTATATTTTAATTTTTAAAATACCAAAAAATACATTAAATGTTGGTTTTTAAATTATATTTTCATACACACAGCCCTAAAATAATTAAAAATATACTTGTTTTTATACAATTTGCAAGTTATGTGTACACAAGAAAATAATTACAAATCTAGAAAAATGGAAATTAATAAAAAACACGTATCAGCATTTGATTTTAACATCTATTAAGTAATCCAAAAATAAATTACAGAAAAATAAAATAGCACTACTTTAAAATAATCTCAAAATAAATGGATTTTAAAATAAATTTTTGGTTTTTCATTTCTTGGTCGACAAAAACAACATTGTACACTGACAGTTGACTGATTGTATAATCTAATGTATACGATGACTATGACTTCATTGAAAACAAAAAAATATTAACTATATGTATGAACAAAAAATGTGTACAAAATTGTAGTTCTTAAAATAATCATGTCGGAGAGATATTGAACAAAAAAATCATAATCAGCCTTCGTCCCATTTCGACTAATGAAATACATCAAAAAATTTAAAATAATTAAATATATATACTTAACAAATAATAAAAGGCAAAATAATATACAATTAAACTAAAAGAATGTAACTATGACTATTAACATGATTCATATTATTTATATAGTTGCCTAATTTTCACTTTTTTCATAATTTGTTCAATTTTTGTTTCTATATTTCTTGGGGGGAAATATTTTAATTCTTAACTAAAAATTTGTTCGTTGAAAGCAAAAAAACGGAGATTCCACTAGTGAAGGATGGCTTGTTCTAAGCATCTTCTTAGTAAATATAGTTATGGGGGAAAACTGCACGTGCTGGCAAATAGTCAGGATCATTTTGATTGCGATAACGACGGGCTAAAAATACAGCAAGTACCTACAAGAGAGAGAGGGAGAATTAGTTTTGAAATTTAATAGAAGTAGCTATATTTAAAAAAAAAATAACAAAGTAAAATTATTAAAATTAACAAAATATACAAAATTTAAATAAATCAAATTAACATAAAATATTAAAATAAATTATTAAAAAAACAATAATTAGAACACAAATAATAATTCACTTCAGCCCAACATTGACCGTCTCTCGGTTAGGTTAGGTTAAAGAAAATTTTAGAGTTAAAGCCGCACTTATGTTAAGATCTCCTACAAAGCATAATTTTCGAGGGGCGAAGTCAGAAAACAAAAATGTTCTTCTTTGACCCTAAGCCTAAAACATTTCCTATTTTTTAATACTTTATTAATACTTCCTCAAAAGACCACAAATTTCATTGTGGGTCTAAGAACAACGGATATGTTTATTCTTATATTATCAATTTTGTTTTTTAAAATGTTATTTATTTTCGTCAAATTTAGCAATTTTCCGAATTCGCTGACAATTTTCTGTCCAATAGCTAGTCGGGGTTGTGGAAAAAGTGGAGTTTTGTAAATCCAAAACCTCAGAAAATTTCGAATTCTTTTTTTAAAGCTTTTATACAGCCTTGAGTATACTCAAAGGGACCGCAATATTTTTGAATATATTTCGCAACATTTAATATAGGGATTGGAAAAATGTTTGGTGGATATATGAGGCCTATATATTACATCTTCTTGCTAGATCTAATGTTTTAAGAAATAATTCATCATGGACATACACAGGGTGTGAGGCCAGACGCCCTCCGAAATGCCATTTTTTTAACATCTTACATGAAAAAAAAATACTTGGGTCCATCTCTGAAATGGATTTGAAATACATTTCTGGGGAATAATTTTATAATTAAAAACTTGTATCCTTTGTGGGTATGGTGTACTAGAAAAATTATGACTTTTTGGGGAGAGGTACGAGAAATTAGGGTCAAATATATATAATATATCCTTCCTAAGTCTGATAGAAATATTACCACTTCATTTGGTTTTATATGAGTTACATGTATGATTTTCCGGTTTTTTAACTTTTGTCGATTTTCAACCCTGACCTAAGAATATTGAGGTATGTTAAGTTCGAAAAGCATTGGATGCTTATTTATCATTTTATTAGAGTTATTGTTATTATCTATCTTCATATCAGATTTAACGTTGGTAGGAACACAAGTATTTGCGAAATTGGAACACAATCGGACTCTTATTTCACATTTTATAAATGTTCTGGTAATTCGAAATTGGGGGAGTGGGCCAATATTGACCAATTTCTCACCTTTACTTAGATCTGATAAAAATATTGCGATATTCCAAGTTCGAACGAAGTTGAACATTCCCTTCCGTTTCTGGGAGGCATTCTATTTTTACTCTTTATAGAGGTACCAAAAGTGGAAGGATTGGAGCGATACTACCCATCTTCGAAGTTGATCTAGTTGATTTGACAAAAAAGTTTGGGCCTGCCCACTTTTTTTTCAAAAATTATCGTGTGCATCTGCCAGTCAGACATTTTTGCTGTATAGAATGATGTATACCCTATGTAGCCATATGACTAAGAATTTAAAAACTTGGGAATATTTTTTTCTTTTTTTTTTTTGGAAATATTGACCCAAATATTTTTTTGTTTATATACAACAGAAAATTAGATTTCTTTTTTGTTGGTGACTTATCGTTATATATGATGAAGAATAATTTTATTATATATGAATTCCTGGCGGTTATGTAAGATGTAGACTCTTGGCGTCTCAAAAAAGATTATATTGGACATTTATATGAAATAGATAAGGATTATATTAAAAAAATATTTATTGGAGCAATAGATATACCAGACCGAATTTCACCAAATGGTTTGGGCTGATATTACCTATATGGTGGACATTAACCGTAAAATCGGCTGAAGATGTACATCTAAGCTACATACAGATCGGTGCGACCTCGATAAAATTTGGCAAAAGTATTTTAGAGCAGTACCTGATGCCCGGTAACAAATATCATTGTTGTGGAGTGCATATTACGCATGTGAGGGACTTGAACATCAAATCGGATGAAACATATATATGACAGCTATAGCCATTTCTTTACGGATTTTTACCAAAATTTGATGCATGCATGCTTTTAGGCTGAATTCCGTCGGAAGTAGCAAAATTCAGGTCATTTGGGCGACCTTGAAAAAAAACTTAAACACTCATTTTGAGCTGTATCTGATATCTGGTGCCAAAGATCATTGCTGTGGAGTGCATATTACGTATGTGAGGAACTTAAACCCCCAAGTAAGATGAAACATATATATGGGAGCTATAGCTATATCTGAAGCAATTTTTCCCAAATTTGATGTATTTGCTTCTAAAATGAATTCGGTCGGATGTGCCAAAATTCAGGTCATTTGGATTGATATTGGTCAATTGGTGCACAGTAAACCCGAAATCGGTTAAATATTTATATGGGAGCTCTATCTAAATTTGAACCGATTCTCATCAATTTCAATAGGGCTCGTCATTGGGCCAAACAAATATGGTTTGTAAAAATTTCATCTCTATCGGATAATCAATGAGACCTGCATTTTGTTCACAAAAATACATGGACGGACGGGCGGACTGATATGAATAATTCGACTCAGAATATGATTCTATAAAGATCCTTAAAAGTAACTATTGGTCTATCTCGTTTTCTTTTTCCTGTTTCAAACAAATGCATAAAGACATAATACCCTTATCAATATGTGGTGTATAGGGTATAAATAGAAAACTCCAAGTTTACTGGGGCGGCTTTTGTAAATATATAGAGGGTTTCTAACAATGCGAAGCTGGAATCGATCCATAAAACTATGCTCTATATGAATAAAGTGGTTGATATTTTGGCTTGAGGCCGATGAAATGGTTAAATCACCACTGAGCTATTATGTCAACTGCTTCAAAACATCTCTCAAGGGAGATGTTGTAAGAAGGTAGCACTTGGAAGCCGGTTGCATGGTATTTAAGGCAATCTGGCCAGTACTCTCGAGGAGAAGAGCAAGCTCCCTTCTATCACTTAACAGGTCCCATCTAAGAATCGTGCTAAACATACTGATGAGATGGGTCAACAATGTTCCTAACTAGACCAAAGAAAATAAATTTCGATTTCGATCTTTTTCGAGTTGGTATATAGACATTTTTTGTGAATATTTCAAAAATTATATTGCAAAAAAACATAAAATTGAAAAGAAACTACAAAAATTAAATAAAAAAATCAAGCAAAAACAGAAGACAATAGGAAAACGTGGTAATTCATCTCACCTATTGTTTTATGACACTCCAGTTATGCGAATGTATTTTAATTTGGTTAGTTTCTATTAATAGTCAATAAATGAAGATAGCATTTTAGGTTTTGGAACGGTTAATGTAATTTTGATAAGGTAATTAGTTAATGAAACCATTTTTTGTGTGGATATGTTGTAAAAAAAGAAAAAACAAATTAAAATAGATTTTTGGAAAATAACATTAGATTTTGGTATGGTTTCGGATGACGTCCGTACAACGAAAGCTGGTAAAAATTGATGATGATTAATTGATTCCTGTTTGTATGTAAATAGCTGCTGCAGTAGCTATAGGTTTTTTTTGTTGTGGTGACTAACTTACATAACTAAAAAGTCTCTAAATATATACTATATATGCATGTATGTATGTATGTACTTATATAAATGTATATATTTGCTTTGTATATAATAATAATTATAATTATATGTATATAATGCTTCATATATATATAGGTATGTGGGTATGTAGGTATGTTAGCCATGTAATTATGTGAAATGATTAATGCATAAATGTTTGTTTGTGTATGTATTTTAATTATTTGAAATGAAGAGTAAATAATTGTATTGTTTTATTTGAATGTGACTTTAATGTTTATTGTTATTGTATATATGCAGCTGGTATGTATGCAAGAGTGGGTATTTGAATGATGATATTGTTATATTGAGGGGGAGGAGGGGTATTACAAATACTCCTGCTGTTTAATTGCATTTCATCAACATTAAATTAAATTAATGTGTACTGTGTAAAATACCTTAAATATTTTGCAATTTCTTTGTTGTTATTGTTTTTGTTTACAAATACAATAAATGTATGTATGTCTATATATGAGTGTGAGATTGTATTATAATTCATGTTAACACCATTCAATTTTGTGAGTTGTTTATTCTCAGTTTTTTGTAATTTTGTAATGACTAGATCGTGGAATTATTGAGGAAAGGGGTACTTTGGGATGTTATAATGTGGGAATCGGGAAAGTGTGCGGTCGGGGCTAACTTAAATGGCGAATTAATATTATTATGTATGCATATATGTATGTTTGTGTAAATAATATTCGTATAAATTTTGCATTTCATTATTGAATTATGTTTGCTCTTAGTTGGTGTATTTAAAGAAATGCACTGGGCAAACCACGTGGATCTTTTTGATTGCGATAGCGAACGGTTAACCAGACACCAATAAACTGCCGGCATATGTCATGCATTGGTTAGTAGCAATAGTGGGAGAAAATGTAGAGAACAATTATTAGTTTATTAATATTAGAATGTTAATAAATACACAAGAATCAATCGGCTTAACCGACAGTTAAATATACCCTCAGCATATGAGCGTTGTTTTACATTTGTGGGGGAGGTAGGTATCACATACACAGGAACATTCTTTTTTGAACTGAAGGAGAGGGCAAACATTATTGCAAAGTTTGCATCAAATCAGCCAGATTCCATTTTTTTATATTAATATCTATTATTTTTCAAATTTGTATTCCATGTGCAGATAATACCCGAAGGAGTGTGCCAATATATTCCGATTCTGTTAAAAATATTACAACATTAAAGTTGTTACGGGTTTATATGATAACCAACATTTTAACTCTGCAATCTTTGCAAATTTTAACCAAATCGAGGAATTTTGTTTGAGAATTATATTTTTCAAAAGCTGATTTTTTCTGGGAGAAGTATCAGGCAAAGTGGAGTCTATCATCGAAATTAGAGCAATAAATTTTGCATGTGTTTTTACTCTGCCAATTTGATGCTCACTATAATAAGTTTAAAACCAGTTAAGGAAAGGTCAAAAGGTATATGAGACCCTACAACATTATACGTATTTTGTAGGGCTCCCGTAACAAAAAAGTTTATATTGGAAATTTATGTGAAGTATATCATACTTACTATGAACCTTATTTGAATGAGTATCATGGCTTTAGAGTAGTCACAATTTGGGAACTATATCCAACTCTGAATCGATTTTCAAAAAATTTGACGAAGGCTTATGACTTCGATAAGAATTATATTAAAAAACATTTATTGGACCAAGTCTCACCAAATGGAAAAATTCAGTTGAATATGAAAAAAATCTATCCAATTTTGGGCTGATATTACATATATGTGGGGACAATAACCGTAAAATCGGATGAAGATGTATTTCGAAGGTATATAAAAATCTGAACCAATCTCGATCAATTTGGTAGAGGTATTTTCGAGTTGTATCTGATGTTCGTTGTCAAATATCATTGTTGTGGAGTGCATATTACGCATGTGAGGGTCTTTAAACCCCAAATCGGATGGAGCATATATATGTGAGCTATAGCTATATCTGAACCGATTTGGACCAAATTTGAAGCACTTGTTTCTAGAATGAATTCAGTCGAAATTGCAAAAAATCAGTCCATTTGGGCTTATATTAGCTATTTGGTGCACATAAACCTGAAATCGGATAAAGATATATGTGGGAGCTATGTCCAAATCTGAACCGATCTTGACAACATTTTAGGTACGTATTTCTGATCTGTATCTGATGTCTGGTGTCAAAGATCATTGCCGTAGAGTGCATATTACGCAAATCGGATGAAACATATATATGGGATCTATATGTAAATTTAAACCGATTCTCACCAATTTCAATGGGGTTCGCCCTTGGGCCAAACAAATATTGTTTGCAAAATATCATCTCAATCGCATAGTAAATGCGACCTGCATTTTGTTCACAAACATACATGGACAGACGGACTGGCATGCATAAATCTATTCAGAAAGTGATTTTATGAAGATCCCCAAAAGTAACTATGGGTCTATCTCGCTTCCGAAAAACATAATATCCTCACCACTATGCTGAGTATGGTATAAAAATCGACTGCTTTCTAAGGCCATTGATCTGCCAATTAGCTCAAACCTAAAGTCAATCATCCTGTATGACTTAACTTTACTGGCATCCTTGCCTTGTTAGGGTAGCGCGGCCACCCGTTCGATTTTCCAGGCTTCGGAAATGATATGGGCGGATAGCGAGAGGTCGATGACTTTTGTCGGTTTTAATATTGCCATCAAGATTGCATCCGAGCCAAACGCTGACTTAGTTTTGTGGATGGTATTTGAAACATCATAATTTTTTCTTTTTTCTTCTAAAGTGCTCCCATTCGCTGCATCTGCAAACAGATTGTGGTGGATGACGTTCTGGCAAAGAATTGAGATCCGGGTTTTCTTCGGTCCCGGGTAGGTATTATACGCTGAGGTGAACATGTATACACTGAGATGTTGTTAATTTGGATCAATCCGGTAGAGTAGAGCTCACTGCCATGAAATTGGCAGCATCATTCATACTCAACCATTGTACCTCCTCGGCGGGAAGAGATCTAATACGACGAAGTATACTTCAATTTTCCACTCTCGGAGTGCTCGACAAATTGGGGGTTAAAATAACTAGTTCAAATCTTCGGATCATTAATTGTGACTGATGTCCCATCAAACTTTTTCCCAAGGCGATTTAACCGTTACCAAAACCTTATTCTTCTCGGTACAGAGGTCTAGACCATTCTTTCCTCTTATGCTCCTGTACCAACCGTTTGATCTCCTGTCATAATCCACTGGGTTATTCCTGTAATTATTATTTGTAAAGAGTTTTAGTCCCTCTGTTTGGTAAATATGTTATGATATAGAAAGTTTCAACCAAATCCGACTGTTCCATCGTTACATGAATTTATACTAAGGGGAGTCGGACACCTCCTAAGTTTCATATAGAACTAAAAAGTTTTCTAAAATGTTAATAATTTGTGGAAGAGAAATCCTAAGAAGTGGAAAGAATTTTTGGCGTTTTGAACTCGTTATTTTGATGTGTCACGCTTTCTCCTTAACAAATGAACCAATTGCTCTGCTGAGGGTATAAATGTATACATGAGACTTATTTAAATAAAATAAATTAAAAACTAAATACTAAAATTTCCATAGTTTTACTTACCTCTGTAAAACTGAAGAATATACCCAAACCACCGCACAGTTTAAAGGCATAATTGATTTTATCTTCCAATTTGGGCAAACACGGTGGACACTGGCAATTGGTGTCGTACGAATTGCCGAGACAGCACTGTTTGTTCACCAATTCGCAGGACTCATCGGCCGTGGTGTTTGTGGAATTGAAACCACAGCAAAGGAATGTATCCTGCACTTGTTTGTGCATCGATGCTGGCACTCGATTCCATCCCTCCTCAGCAAATTCTTGTTGCTGCTCCGAGTTGACAGCCAAACACGAGCTGGCAATGGAGAATTGTATGAGGAAGAGCAAAAACAAAATGATCATATACTGTTGGTTGGTTGGATGGTTGGCAGAGCAGGAACGTAAACGATGGCGTTGAAATAGAATTGAATATAAATGAATTAAGGAAAACCAAATTTGCATAACAAATTTCAAAGTCATTTAGTTCAAAAAATGTGTTAAATAATAAAAATGTTTTCATTCGTTCTTTGGTTCGTTTTCGTATTTTTTTCTCTTCATTTTCTTTGCATGCATAATTTATTTTAAGCTTTATAGCTTTCACTATTAACTTTATGTGGAAGAGAAGAATGAAGGAATATATAAACAAATCAAGACAATAGATAGATAGGAGTGGATTTTGGCGTCAGGTTGTTTTATTCTAAATTGGCCTGAGGTCATCCTTTTTTTATAGGGCAAGGAAAAAATATAATTGGAGATACGTTTTTGTATTAGTTTTAATTTCTTATGTATTTTACCTAGGCATAAAAGGTATAATGAATTTTATTCCACCAGCAGTTCGCTCGGGGAAGCCCATTAAGCTGTATTCAGAATTTAGCAATTGGTGCTTTGGAGGACTGTCTAGCCCATCTGAGGTTCGGGTAGCAAAAAGGATTTTTCAAAACATTATTACAGCTGCAACTCCTCGTTATGTATCAGCTGTCGAATACTTAAGGTTCTACCTTACTCCCCAAGAGATCCAGCGGTAGTGCGATGACCTTTTGCGGTCCATTGCAATTGATTTGAGTAAAGTGTCCTTGTCGGCGATGATGAAACTCTAATCACTTTTAAACACTTAACGCCGGATAAATTGAAAGTTTAGGCAATTTTTAAACATTACTTGTTTGAACACCTTGTGGAGGACAGGGTGAGGCGAATAATGATGCATCGTATCAGATCTCTCCACACAGAGAAGGTAACTCTACAGTTCACACGAAGAACTTGGTCTTTTTTGAACATGAACGGAATCTCAACGGTATTATTGAAACACGGGAGACATTTATTTTATCCAGGGTCTCAAATGTTTTGTTATCTATTCACGTCGTTCCCGAAGGCTTAAAAATAATTCGGGTGCTGGAACTGAATCCAGAAAAGGATGCCACAAAAGGCATGATATATGACATGCGATTTCAATTTTGTCCCCTGTAGCAAATACTCTTGAGGTTTTGCTCCTAGTCAACACTAGAAAAAGTTATCCATTTGCCGATCACTTATAATGCGGTCTGTTAACAAACTAACAACAGTATTGCCAAAAATGAATTCAGGCGGACTGAACAAGAGCAGACCGGCACATTATAACAATGGTGCTTGACTTCTCCCACACACTCAAGACGTCATAGAGTTTTTGCTTATGTAGATGAGGTTATCGGTGCCAATCTTTGAGGATATGTCTGTAAAATTGAATTTAGACCTTAGGCCTGAGAACTGGAATAGTAGTAGAGATCCCACCGGGGTGTCAGAAGAACTTGGCGAGTGTGTTTAAGAGATATAGAAGTGAGAGTTTATATATTCACAAGCACCTCAGAATGGTTTGGATACCATTTATATGGATACAACGATATATGCAGGAAGTTACAGTCGTATCAATGTGTTTGGACGGTAATGGATATCTGTTGAACATGTATAGGCCGACATACTAATCCACTTCGATTTAATTGCCTTCGGAAATCTACTCTAATTTCGAAACAAAAAGTGTAGCTACATCTTCAGTTCCTGCAGTGGTGTCATGAGGAGGCAGTTTGTTGCAGCTATTTTGGTCTTTGTGATTACCTTCCTCCTACTTTCCAATTTATCGCAGAAAGCTGTGGCTTGCATAGGCGACGTGAAGATGCTCTAAGATCCTCTATCTAGTTTGTGGTTCGAATTAATTGTCTCTCGACCTGCACATTCAAATGTGCATTGTCATTTCCGCAGACCATGTGGATATTTTAATAATCCTTGATTGGAAGTAGGCTGCAAGCTATGTCATCAACGATGAGACTCGTCGTCATTATCATCCGCATAAGTTATGTTCTCAATGTTGACTGAAGAGAGAGGAATTCCAGAAAGAAAGTGGTTAAATAGTTTGGGAGATATCACCCCACCTTGGGGAACATCCTGTATCACACTACAGGGTTTGGATTTTTTTGTTCTGAAATTCCACGTACAACTGGCATCCACACTAAAATTTATTATGCAATTAACGTTTCAAACTTGGCCGGAAGTAGTTCTCAATATCATTAAACAGTGTCAAACGCCTTTGATAGGTCAAACGCCTGTATCCTACGCCACGACTTGTTTTGGTTGATTGACTCTGTTTGACTCAACAGGGTTGGGATTTCTTGTTCTGAAATTCCACATACGACTGGCGTGTACACATATTATTGATTATACAACCAACGTTTCAATATCGACCGTAGAGTAATTCTCTTAATATAATCTATGATAAGTCAAGGGCTACCAACACTGTTCTATGACACGGGTTATCTTCTTAAATTCTCGATATTGGGAGCTTCGACGACTGAGCTTACTCTAATGCTAGGAATAAGAAGAGTTTCACAAGTTTTCGCTGCGGCATGAATGACTCGCATTTACTGGCATCCATTTCTGGGAACGATGTGGGCGGCTAGCGACAAGTTAAAAACTTTTGTCAGGTACTTCACTCCTGGCTGTTTTAACGTTATCTTTAAGATTCCGTCCGGGCCAAACGATTTGAAGGACTTTGCCTTTCGGATGACAATTACGACATCACCCATCGTAAGCTGGTGTGACATTTTCTCGGCTGGAAGAGATCTAATACGATAAAGTACTATTCGCTTTACCCATCACTCTCAGAATTCACGACAAATTGACTTTTAAAATAACCAGTGTACCTGTTCGGATCTTTCGCTCCTAGAGCTCAATTTAACCGTTACCCAGAGCTTACTCGGTTAAAGTATTGCCAGTCCCGTTGCGTATACTGGGTTATTTTTTGGGGGAAATTACAATCTACACATGAGAAAACATATTTTGCCATCTATATTCCCCAATTCATATCCATATTGCTCCATATTTTCGACCAATTTGAATATTTGAAAAAATACATTGAATAAATTTACCGGCCCATTCCAAAACAAATTACTTTCACAGTATTTGAGCCATGACTTAGGGTAACACATATTCGGATTAACCATTGACTCCTGTTTCCCATCCTCATTCACGCTCGCACTCGTTGTCAATTATCAATGGGAATTTCTCTATGGACATATGTATGTGATGGCTTTATTATAAGTTGGAACCATTTTGCATTTTAATTTTTTGTCATTATGTTTCCACATCTTCTTCTTGTTGTTGTTACCATTCTATGGCTCATGTCTTTTTTTGTTGGTGTCTCCTTTAATAGTTGGAATTTTATGAGGTCGACTATGTGACAGCAGTGAGTGGGGGTGATACGTGTGTTTTGCGAGGTAAGTAGTTGACGTTGATGGTGATGAGGTAGTTTTTCTTGTTGTCGTATTTGTTATTTTCATTATGTTCCAGCAAAATAGAGAAAAAAAAAACATCATCATCATCATCCATGGAAGCAGACAACACATCGTCGTCACAAAAGGGGGTCAAACACAAAGTAATTGTGATAACCTTCTGTTCTTCACTTGATTACGCGCGTCCTAGTGCAGAAAGCAGCAGCAGCAGTTGTTATTGTTGTTGTACACCATCTTTCCATTCATGATGAATACACTTGGCGCACACGGCTTTTTTATAACACAAATCCCCATACATACTTCTTATAAATCCAAGTAATATTCTATTTTTTGAATGCTTGGAGGCAAAGGCTGAGGTGCTGACTGCTAAAGCCATGGGGGTTGGAGAATATATTTCATAATTTGTAAAACATCACAAAATTGACAATATGTGCTACTGCTGTTGCCGCTTGGAGGACTGGTTGGCTGGCTGGTAGCGGCGTCTAGATAATTGTGTTGACATAATAATTATCGGCAGCTGAACCCAATTCCCCAAATGTTACTTTTTATTTTGAAAGCACTGGATGTGTTGCTGGCAGAGATAATTAAAAGTAATCTGGGAAAAGGTTGTTTTTGTTGTTATCCGGGTATTTTTAGAAAGCTTCCGTATTCTATTTAGATTATGGAAATAGAAAACTAAATACAGCATTAAAATTTAACAAGAAACGCTTTGCAATTAAAATTTATGTCAAAAAGATAAAAGGAATGGAAAATTCTTAAAAATAACCAGGCAGCCACCGTTTGAAAACGAAAAAGGCAAAGACAAAGCACTCTAAACGTTTATTGTCCTTTCTTAGAATTTCTGTTTGAGCACAGCATAAGTATCATTTCACTTTAGCTTTCGCCTCATTAATCCTGAATATTTCATAGTTTTAGAATTAAAATTTCCCTACAAATGCCTTCGGTCTTCAAAGGCAACAGCAGCGGCGGCAGCATTAGAAAATATAACAAACTAGCTTCTCTCCATCCACCATTTCCACCACTTCAACATGCCATATGCGAAAAGTTTCTTTGTAATGTTTAATAGTTTATAAAAAAAAAAACGAAAAAGCATCGAGGCATAAGAATTTGTTACATTAGGTACTTGTACTAGATTGGATGAGAAGTAGGGGTACATGTACTTGTATAAACGGATATGTTGGCTATGGAATAAGCCAATGTAGAGAGAATTATTTCACTGCAAAAAAAAACAACAGTTGGGTTTAAATTGTTGTTAACATTTGGTTTTGGAATGAAAAAAAAAAACAACAAAAAAAACTTTGAACACCACTTAACATAAGATGAACAGTTCTTTCCACTCATACCGCATGTAGGCCGACCTCTTGCCAAACAACATATTTCAACAAGGCCATTTTTGTTGGGGGTCGCTTGAACTGCATTTCGGCGGTTATAAAGAAAAGGAATAAAGGACCCTAAGGTCCTTTACATTTTCTAAAAAAAATAAAAATATTCTAATGAAATATTTCATAATTTTATAATCCATCAAAAAAATTCTTAAAAGTGACTTAAAATTAGGTAGTCCGTATAAAATAGGCTTGGAATAAAATATGATGGGGAGGTTCAGTCTTTTCAATAAATAATGGAGATTACAACTTCATCTGTGTGGATTTTCTCGATATAGGAGGAGCCTTCGATAATGTTAAGGTGTAGTCGAAATCAAGCCCTTGATATCTTTTGATGACTAGTTTGCTAAAATTCTAGTTGGCATTGAAGAGCAGAGTTAGAGGTTTAATTTACACGAAGACCTTTGGTCCATTGTGTCCACCTAAGGTAAATGGATTTAAAAGAAGATATAGAATTTAAGAAAAGTTTCAGGAGGTTAATTTTAGGCACCACCTGCAAGCTAGGTTTGAGGAAGTTATTTTTAGCAACCAACTGCCAGCAACAGGAGGTAACTCCGTGAGGACCTGTTTGGAACTTCTAATATAATTACTTATGGGTAACAGACAGTCTCATCAATAGCTGGATCACTCGACTAGAAACCATCCTGAGCTAATTCATGGACCATTTCATTCCCCGTTATAATACTATGGTAAGGGAGCCAGCAAATATGTTGTGATTATTTAAGCAGTTTTTGTCGAGGTATTTTTAATCAAAACTGGCTATAATTCTAAATCCATGTCGAAAAAATGAAAGGCTGTTGGCCTAGGTTTTGTCAGGACTATTGAAAAGTTTCAGCGCAATGCAAAGGTCTGTCTCGTATGCGTTACGTCCGGATGGTATCTTCGTAAAGAGATACTCTATTGTAGGCGAATTTTAGACAGAGTGGAACTAGTTTTCACTGACGCCGCAAGGCTAACCAAAGACCATTTTAAGCTGTTAAGTCTTCTGGAGGTCTTCTATGCTCTATAGTAGACCTGAAAATCTTCCATGCAGGTCTTCTACAGGATGAGATAAAAAAAAACTGAAACGAACTTCAGACTGCTGTCATTTCTAAGCCGCTCGTCCGACAGCTATTCAAATTATTCCAGTGACAGCTCATTATATTCCGTACAAATGCATTTTGGTGAGAATTTTCCAGAAAAAAGTTATTCGTGATGGAATTCAAGCGTGATAGTGCGAATGTGAATAAATCTTTTGTGTCTCGTACCATAGCTCGTTACCGTGACACTGATAGCGTAGCCCGGCGTCAAGGAAACATCAGCAGAAATGGTTCGAAAAGTAAAGAAGCGACTTGATCGAAACCCGCAGTGAAGTGGCCGAAAATGGCTCGTGCGCTGAACATATCGCAATATTCCATTGGGCAAATATTGAAATATGAGCTCGGGGAAAGGCCATTGAAATTCGAAAAAATGCGAGAAATGAGGTTCCTCGCTTCATTTCCACCAAAATCTCCGGATACCCATCCGTTGGACTATTGTGTCTGGAGTATTTTGGAAAGCAAGGTTGGCACTATAAAATACAGGGCAGCGTGTGACGGTTTCATTGGCGGTTTGGCCATATACCGTGCCAAAGGTGAATAATTCGAACAAATCTAAACTTATTCTAAAATTTGATGCTATATCCGACATTTTTTGCTTTCATTCAATAAAATCTGAAAAAATTTAAAAATTGTGACGTTTGACTTTGTTGCAGTTTTTTTATCTCACCCTGTATAGGCAATAAGTGTATCCCAAGTGCTACCGGCTAGCTATTTAACCAGGTTGTTCCTACTTTTCAATTTATCGCATGTAGTTGTGTGGCTTGTACATGTTAAAGATTATCCATCAGATTTTAAGAAAATTAGAGATCAAAATTATCTGTCCTCAAACTGCAGATTCAGATATATACTTATCTCCAAAGTCTATTTTTTAAAATGTGGCCGTTAATTTAGTGACAATCATATTATTGGATCATATTCCTAACTTTGAAGGCGGCAAGTTCGGGAATTGATCAACATGTTATTCAATCATGTCATTACATTAGAACATTATTACATCCGCAAAGCTTTCACTATCACTACTTACGACACCATCTGAAGTCATGACGGATGAGTCGAGGAGAGGATCTGGGACAGCTTGACAGATCGCTCGCCAGCAGAAACTGTAAGGTTAAAAGCATATTTTATTTCCTTGCTGGCTTTTTCATGGAGGTGATCCACATCAGTGCATTAAAATTCTCTTCTTAGACGTTTGAAAATTTTTCTACTGAATGTCATTAAGAAATAAAGGCCAAATTGGAGCAGCATATTTCAGGCTACCAATGCTTCTGCATCTTTACCCCAGGAGAATCCAGCAAATTGATTGAGGATCTTGTTCTTGTATTTCATTTTCTGATTTATATAACGCGAAAATAGAGATGGTTGTTGGCTACTCCTAATATTTTTTGAATTATTTTGGACATCCGACTAGCTGATATAAAAACAGCAGCTTTAACTGTAAAAAAATCCTTTCTGTTTTCAAAAAATCGGAAGGCCTGGAAAGTTCTCTGAAGCGTTGTTTGGTGAACTGTCTAGTGGTGATGAAAGACAATTGCTCGTTGTTTAAACTAACCCTTTTCGATTTAAAAATAACCATAAAATAACCAGAGGGGAATGTTTATATTGAAGTGGCAGCCGCCTTGGAATTGCTTCAACTATTACATCTAATCAAAAATATTTCTACTTGCAAAATTCTCCATTTGCCAGTTGAATAACTACAACGAAATAGTATTATCATAGTAAAAGTCTTCCAGACATATGATGCCTTTCATTCATTATAGTCATTACCGACTTAATGCTGACCATTTACTTTATAACCTTTTGACGTAGATGCATTCTCTCTACTCCTTTAAGAGTTCCATCCATTTAATCTCTCTCTCTCTCTTCTATACCATTGACTCTGAATTAGGTTTCAAGTATGATTAGTTCTAAGCATACATAAATTTCCAGCAAATGGACAGGATTCTTATCTAGAAAATGTAACAAAACACTGCAGTCTACTGCATCACATTTGTCGACTCAGCAGTACACATGGGACATAAGTGCATCTATCTATCCATCCATTGTCTCGATGATAATATTGATTTTAGTCTTTAATTGGGTTTCAATGCTGTTTTGCTTTTGTAGTCATTGTTTTTTCTTTAAAAAGGATACGAAAAACAGCATAACTTGATGATGTTTAACAGCACCAGCTAGACCCAATATCGATATGAGTATCAAGATAATGCCGCATGCCAGTATACCGCCAACAATGGGAAGATTTGTAACAATTGAAGCAGCACGAGCATAGACACCGACACCAATCAGTAGGAAGCCCACCATCTAGAAAGAAAAACAAAACAAAAGCATTATAATCAATATAAGGTTGAGAAGAAAAAAAACAAACACTGTTTAAACGAGGAGAGCAAAACAAAAAGAAATAAAAGTTTATCTAAGATGTGTTGCATGCACCACACATCCATGGTTCGTTCGTTCATTCATTTGGTTCGTTTGTTCCGATATCAGGTTGGGTGGGTGGTTGTATGTCTGATAGTCTAAGACTCAGGTGTATTTTGTATTTTTTTTTTTTTTTTTTTTTGTGCTTATTAGTTCCATCATTGATTGCACGAACTGTAAACAATTCTACAGCACACACACACTCACCTTGAATTGCCTAAAAGCAAACGAATACAAATTGTCTTTTCACCATGGGAGATTTTTGGATTCATTTTGGCTAATAAATTTCTATGGGTGGGTAGTAAAACCCCAAACCACAATCTCAATAAACGTTTCCGGCAATAAATCATTGAAAAGTATATACAGAATTACATTGCATTTTTATAGAATTTATTTGAATGTAATCTTAATATGAGGTTCTATCTCATTATGACATTAGCCACATTTTCAATTGATTTAGCCATGATTTGCCATGTTGAGGCATATTAGATTTTCATGATTAATTTTGGCCCAAGTTTGAATGGCAATAAATTACAACAGCAACAAAAAACAAATTTGCAGCCAATTTTGATTTTCCTAGGTTTGACAATCAATTTCCACAACCATCCACAAAATCCATAAATTATAAGAGGTATTCAAGCTCGAATGAGTATAACCCATCAACATCCTTGAGAATCCAAATTTCGCTATTCATAGGTTTAAAAAACAAATTTTAACACTAATCCATAATCTCCAAATAAGCTACAAAAAATAGTACAAATTTAAAAGGAAATGAGTTGATATAATACTTCGTGTATGAAATCGGTTAGTCTAAAATACCTTTATATATACAAAATGCCGTGTATGTACTGGATATTAAAAAAAAAAACCACAAGTAAAAAAGCAGACACTTCGGCCAGGCCAAGCTTTGAATACACCACTATTTGAAACGAATTTGGAAATGTTCAAAAAAATAAAATTCGTTAAAAATTCTAGTTAAATCTTAAAAATGCCATCGCCATTATATTGCGGTCTATACAAAGACGTGGACTTGCATGAGTAACTTTTGTCATATTCCATTACAATATTAATATACAAAAATTAAAAAAATTCCGGTGAATAATGTAGCTATTATTATCAAAATACGGAATACAGGGCGGTACTGCTATATGGGGGCTATACGAAGACGTGAACCTGCATATACAATTTTTCGTCATGGGTTAAAGTACCCATTATGAACATCAGATAAGAAATTTGAAACAAATCCGTTGAATAATGTTACCAAAACCATGAAAATACCGAACTACCCAGACATTCGGGTCCTATAATAAAATGTGGACCTATGTAGTCAATTCTCTTCCAAGTGCTAAAGTACTCAGAAGAAACTCCTTGTGTAGATTCTAATAATTGACAATTTGCTACAATTACCAAAATACCGAATATTGGGAGAAACCGGTTTATGGGGGCTACATGATATCGTAATCCCATATAGACAATGCTCTCCTAGGAGATGAAAGTACTCACAAGAAACTTCTTTTGTGGATTTTAAGACGATTCCATTGAAAAATTTAACTGAAATCATCAAAATACCGAATATCGAGGGGTACCGCTATATGGGGGCTATGCGTTACCGTGGGCCTATATACCGTTATATGGGACAATAACAAAACTTGAACCCATTAGGATAGTTCTTTGCACTGGAAACACAAACTGCCACGGGCATGAATAAATCGACATAGAATTTTATACTGAGCAAAAAAACCCGGCTGAGGAATTTTAGTTATAAAGGAATATCCCGTTATTCCGTAATTTATATCCTACTGCTGATGAAAGAGGTATTTTGTTTATATTACTTTTTAATGAGGTTTCGGCTCATATGGTTCTGAATATTTGTTTTTTTTTTTTGCACAATATCCATCATTGTTATTAAATCATCAGGGAAATAATTTTTTAACACTTGCACTTATTTTTTAAGAGCGTGACAGACAAAAAATCCATATAATTGTTAATCCTTTCCCATTGCTTTTTTATACCCCCAGCCATATGGCTACAGAGGGTATATATCATTTGATACGGCCAAAACGTGCCTCATCGAAATAACGGTTTTAGACCCTAGGTCTCTTTGGACCAAATTCGTTTCAGGACATTTGGAGTCGATCTAGCAATGTCCTTCCGTCCGTCTGTCTGGCTGGTGCGCACGATAACTCTCGTAGGGAGTATCCGATTTGATCCAAGCATCGTCATATTATTGTCAAACTTAGATCGAGTTCGGAGATGGGCAATATCGGTCCATTCCTTCTGGTACCTCCCCTCTAACTTAGCATATCCTAATATTTGCATCAATGCTAGATCAGGTGCGAAAATGGACAATATCGGTCCGCTCCATCAAGTTCATCCCCCACAAACGGTCAAAACTTTTAATAATTACAACTCTTATAAAAAGTAAAATGGTATTTAAATGGAATATATCGGTCCGCTCCTTCTGGAAACTCCCCCCACAAAATGTCAATCTTTTCAAAGAAAATAATTTATTGCACAAAAAGAGAAAGGTTAATCCGATTTTGATCCAACTTTGCATATCCTAATATTTGCATCAATGCTAGGTCAGGTGCGAAAATGGACAATATCGGTCCACTCTATCAAGTACATCCCCCACAAACGGTCAAAATTTTTAATAATTACAACTCTTATAAAATGTGATGTAAGAGTCCGATTGTCTTCAAATTTCATACATCCCAATATTTTTATAAACCCAATGTCTGGTATTAAAATGGAATATATTGGTCCCTCCTTCATAATCCGATTTTGCTCCAACTTTGCAAATCCTAATATTTGCATCAGTGCTACGTCAGGAGAAAGGGTCAAAATTTTGAATAATTACAACTCTTATAAAATTTGATCATCCCAATAATTTTAATATCCCAAGGTTTGGTACCAAGACTTATAGTAACTCCCCCACAAAAGTTCGAAATTAAAAAAAAAAAAAAAAAAAAAAAAAAATATTTTTCACACAGAAAGAGAAGCAATAATCCGATTTTTCTCCAACTTTACAAATCCTAATATTTGCGTCAGTTCTAGTTCAGGTGCAAATATGGATAATATCGGCCCACTCTATCAAGTGCCACCCCCTCAAAGGGTTAAAATTTTGAATAATTATAACCCTCATAAAATGAGATATAAAAATCCGATTGTCATAAAATGTCACACATTCCAATATTTTTATAAACCCAAGATCTGGTGTTAAGATGGAATATATCTGTCCACTCCTTCTGGTACCTCCCCCACAAAAGGTCGAACTTTTGAATATCTATTAAGCTCACAAAGCGCGAAATTATCATCCGATTCCATTTAGACTTGGCACCTCTGAATATATCCATCAACACAAGATGTGTTAAAATGATGGTAGAGATCGGAATACTCCATCTGGTACCTCCCTCACGAAGGGTAAAAGTTTTTAAGAAACAAAATGATCCTAAAATCCGAAAAAAAGCATCCAGTTCTCTTCTCATATTAAACATACCACAATATTTTTATTAGATCAAGATCTGGTGTGAAGATGGTATATGTCGGTCTACTCCTTCTACCCAACATTCCCCCCCCCCCCCCCAGGGGTCAAAATTTTTAATATCCATGAATATCATAAAACGCGAAATGAATATCCGATTCCATTCAGACTTGCTACATCGCAATGTTTCCATCAATACGAGCTCTATTATAAAAATGGTTCAATATTTTGAAAATTTTACGCATAAAAACATTTTTGTTAGCAAAATATATGTTGTGAAGATGGCATATATCTGAGAACCCTTTCTGGTGCCTCACCCACAAGGAGCTCAATTTTCAATACTTTTATCTTTACAACTTGCTATGTCTAAAGATTGCTTTCAACCAGAAACCTGAGATGAATATGGAATTTATGAATTCGCATAAAATTGCATATAAGATTCGAAAGATTCGTTTTTTTTTTTTTTTTTTCACTCCGATATATTTATCTGTATTACATGAAGTATGAAAATGGAATGTTTCGATAGACTATACCAGGTAGCTCACGCACATTTTAACATTTTCTAAAAATTATCACATATCTCATATAAAGTGAAGGAAGTAGTCCAAACATGGCACGTCGAAATATTAATATCATATGTGTTTAGGTCTGATACAAAATGAACAATATTGGTCCATTACTTCAGAACCTACTGCATTAGAAGGTCAACAATTTTAATAATCATAACACAAGTCAAATTATATTTTAGTAATCGAACATTGGCTGAGGGTATACATCTGTCGACTAAACCGAGAGATACTTTTTAACTTGTTTAGCAAATCATTGGTTTCATTCATTGTTTGTTTAATAAATTCAAAATTTTTTTCAAACTCTTTCGTATATTTCAGTATATTTCATACTATATAGAAGATCAATAGAATATGTAATAGGTACATTTTGAATTAAAATTCCGTGCTCGAAAGAATTAATTCGTAAAATTCATCTTTTTTCCTTTGGTATTTGCGACGGGATTTATCAATCAAGTTCCGCTGGTAGTGTGTTAATATTTTATAATTAAAATGCCTATTACCCACAAAAGAACAAAAACTGCTGAAGGGTAAACAAAAGACTCGCACTATCACTATTTTGTTCAGATCATTTACCTCACTACATTTTGTCTGGTATTTTACTGTATTGGAAGTCAATCAACGTACGTAAACAATAAATCCCGCCATTTAAGGTCAAACTTCAAATTGTTGATGACAAGTTATGGCAAACTCATTCGCCTCATTAGGCCTCAGTGTGTTTAGAAAACAATAACAGAGATGACTAACTACATAGACAAATGAAAATATAGACAACGAAATGCTCTCACCGTTCATCTTCGAAAAAAATCGGGTCAGCAGATGTCGTATATGTCGTTTCAGGGGTTTGAGTGGGAATTTTGAAGTCACTCAATTGTAAAATGTTAAAAATAACAAAAACTGTAGGATATTTGTCAGTTGATAATTGTCTCATAATAAAAGAAATGTGAAAAGTACGTGATGACATCGGAAAATTCAGGAATAATCAAGTAAAATTCTTGAAAACCGATAAAATGTGTTTTCGAAGTCGAGTGGCTTGAACGCGCAAATAAGCATGTTGACTATGCAAAACATGATGAGCGCCATCTGGATAAAAAGACAAAACTAACTTTTCGTTGTCTATATTTTCATTTGTCTATGTGCTAACTACCGTGGGGAGACGACGGATAAGAATGAGAGCGTCAAACAGAGAATAGAGAAACATCTGTTACTCCAGTCAGAGTGGAAAACGTTATTTAGTTACTTTTAAAGTTTTCACACATCAAATGAACGAAGTTTATAATCCTTTGTTTACCAGCCATGAACTTTCCTGTAACAACAACCCTCGTATCAGGAAACAAAACAAAAATGCCGCCGTCACCGCAGCCCCAAGCAGCAGAACCCAAGCCAGATGTCAGGCAATATATAAAACAAAAGCAACAACACGTTGTTGCCTTTTCTGATAGACAGACAGACAGACAGAGAAACGGACTTTCTGGCTGAATGATTACAAAGTAAGCAAGCAGTCGGGCAAGTGATTGGAAAAAATTATACATTTAAAACTCTTATTTATAGAAGGAATACCGAGAAGGGATGATGATAGTATGTCAGCAGCGACAGCAATGCTGCTGATGAGAATGTAAAACAAATAAAGCGACTAAAACGAAATCGATATTTTTTAAAGGATTTCTTTGGAAAGAAAAACAATAAAGGGAGACGGGCAGGCAGGCAAGGGACAAAGTGCAAAAGAAGCTTAAGGAAACACCAACGAGACAGTGACGACGACCCTTTTTGTTCCTTTGTTTAGCAGGGAAATTAGAGCATGAATTGGTGGGATTTTAGCAAAGAGAAGGATGTAAGAGGAGGATATGACTGCACAAGGCAGTTGTCCCTAATGTATGTATAACGAGAAAAAGAAAACAATCAGGAAAGAAATTGCTTTTAAATCAGCATGATATGAAATGTGAGTTCCTTTCGCACTACTTCTTCTCCGCTCATCCTCATTTCCAAGTAGGTAGGTAGGTAGATGTACTTTATAATCAGTACAAAGAAAATGTAAGGGAAGAAGCTTAACAACTTTAATGGGGCGAAATAGCTATGAATTTGTTCGGCAAAATGCATTTAATTTATTATGTATAACAGTTTATTTTTCTTTTCGATTGTAATGAGTTCTGTCTATTAGCGTTCCGTTTTGTTCATGGTCTGTGTTCATGCTGCCCTTCAAGGGCTCCACAAATTGAAATTACTTGACATTTGTCTGCCTCCAACCAACCAAACAACAGCAACAACTTACCACATATAAAATATTTAAGGCAATTAATGCATTCTTTGAACACGTAAATCCACCGCACATTTTTGCGTTTCTTTTGTTATTTCACTCTTGTTGTTGTTATTATTTTTTATTATCTATATTATCTCTCTGTTTTTGCGTTTCGTCACTGATTTTTGGGGTTTCTTTGTTATTATTGTTAATAACAATTTGTTGTTATTGTGGTTTTTAGCACCACCAGTCAAATCACTTTCAATTGTTGTTTCCTCAACTTGCAAATTTATAACAACACTTCTTTTGTTGTTATCAAAAATCTTTATGTTAATATTTGCTTTACTAATTTTGTGTTGTTGTTCTTCTCCGTTCTCCGTCCAAACGTTTCCAACAGCAACCGTTCTTGTTTTTTTACTGCTATATTTTTCTCTTATTGGAGCACATCAATGGGGGTTGTGTGATAGAGATGAGAAATAATCGACTTTGTGTTCGTTCGATAGTTGTCATGTTTTTTGATATTATCGATAGTGATTATGTGGCGTTCAGACGGAACATGGTTCGCAGGCAAATATGCTTTGGGTTTTGCTGCTGCCCATGGCAGAATTATTTGAGGGGGGAATATAAAGGTTATGACTATTGAAAAATATTGACACTTGCCTTTACGTTCTATTTATTAATTAAAAACATAAGATATTTAAGTTATGTTTAATTGAATTAGGTTTTTTTGTAAATATCGCGCCCGTGCGAACTTGCCATTAACAAGCTGTTGTCATGTTTTCTCTATCGCTTTACAAACAGTGCTGGCAACATTGAAAAAAAAACAGATGGCAAACAAACTAAAAAATCAAAATAAGCCGTTATGTTGAAAGGCATTTTTGCAAGAATTCGAAGTAAATTTTATGAAAGTGATTAAAGCTATAAATAAATAATAAAACTGTTAGAAAATGTGGACAAATTATCGATATGTGTGGTCATGTGTTTGTTGCACAACAGAAAAAAAGAAAAATGGAGTTAACTTTGTTGTGAAGCTCTCTAATTGGAAATCATTGTGGACAAATAAGAGGGAATGTTTAAAGGAAAATTATGTAAAGGTTAACAACTGATTGTGATGTTACAACGCCAAACGGATTCACTTACGAAAATAAATCAATATGTAACAAGCAGAAAATTTCACCTGAAGCTAGTCAATAATATGATCTGTATAAATGTCCGGAAAGTGTGAAAGAGTTCCAAACCCTAGTGGAATATACAATCAACAATAAATGGGTAGTGGGTCTTTTAAACAAAATCAGGACTGCAGTGCTTCCATATATCTATGCAAAGCTTAAATTTTTGGACCTGAACCTTAGTGGAACGCAGAATCAAAAATAAATGGGAAGTCTTGTAAATAAAATCAGGACTGCAGTGCTTCCATGTATTTATACAATGCTAAAATTTTTGGACGACGGCTTCGGAAAAATTTTAAGTCTGCAACATAAAATACAAGTACGTATAAAATCCATAATTATATTACAATATATATTGATAATGGTCTTATTTTTGCAGGAAAGGCAACATCTTATACAATGGGTAAGCCATTCATTTAACAAAAACTTGCCACAAGTCTTGTTACTGAAAATTTTTGAGTTTCCAGCCCTTATGGGTATAGACTCTATAGTATCGTATTGCCAAAAATCTCATGTTCCTTAGCCTATTGAGAGTGATTGATAAATCTCGAAGGGAGAACTAGATTTAGCCATTCTAGGTCAATCATAACAATATTTTCACAGTAGTGCATCCTACAAATAGTCCAAAACTACCTAAAAATCGCTAATAGAAAAAGAGATTGCAAGGCGCTATCGTAATATTTGTGCTAGGCTTGGGTTAGGTACGAAAATCGACCAGATCGGTTAACTCATTCTGGTACCAGCAACTCGAAGATTCCAAATTTTAAGCAACGTTTTTCTTGCAATTAAGTCGGGAAGAAAAAAATTAATATCAAACCAAAAATTTTTTTTGTACAATCCCCCAAAATGTCTAGATTTTGAATTTTAATTGCTCTTGCCTCTGGACCAAAATCAATACCAAACTGTGACTCGTTTTGGGTTCATCGGCTCTGCAATGTTTGCGTGCGCATTTTCTGCCCCCAATTGCAATAATTTATCTTGTTTACAAACGGAATTGATGGTGCTCTATTTTTCCAAAATCAGGACAGCATTTTCGCATACTTTCTGCAACATTACCATGATTTTCAAAGTAATGTCGCAATACTTCCCCACATTGTTCGATCATATACATTACAATATTCGTTTAGCGGAAGGAGAAAACAAATAATATTTCCAATCGGGCATGAGCTGCCCCCTCGCGAAATAAGTACTAGTTGGAAAAAGTTAGATCGGGCACCCTACATTGAGGTGAGATATATCCTTTCAATATTCGTCTTCCACAAGATTCTGAAAATTCCGAATTCCATATAAGCTTAACGAAGCCCACGACAAAGCCAATAACAGTTCATCACCCCCACCCATAGCAGCTGAATAACACCACCTGCCTAGACAAACCAGGGTAGTTTTGGCGCAATTACGTTCAGATGTAGTCGTCTCAGTTCGTATTGGGCACGAATTGAAGAAGATGTGCGTGACGTCTGCCCGGCGTGTGATCCGCACAATACGCTGCACCACTTTAATTGCACAGCCAAAACTACCCAACTCACTCCAGAAGATCTCTGGCTACAGCCCTGGAGCTTAATTCAGATTAGCAGAAGCAAACACATACATGTACTGCTGCGACAACAACAACAATAGTTCATCGCAATATCCGTGTCAAGCTAGGCTACGTCGAAAATGCAAAAAATGTATATTAAAAAAATTGATAGGTTTTAGTAGTCATTTTTCAAGGTCTTTTTAAGTTAGAAGGTCCTCTAATAGGTTACCTTGGCTAAAACCTTAAAATACAGCCTACAATTTGGAAAATATTTTCTTTTGATGGATTCAAATGGCGCTAATTTGGGCTATGTCAAAATTTGTATACCCTCCACTGTGCGAGAATATCATTTGTGATCATGACCATCTTTTTTGCTACCGGCTACAAACCAAAATCGTTCATCTCCATGGCGCAATCAGATAGCGCCGATTACTGCAGACTCTGTCCAAATGAGGAGGAAACTCAAACGGAAGAGCACCTACTCTGCCACTGTCCAGACAGAGGCTTATAGGTGTCCTTGTTTTCATTCTTCAGTCAGACTAATTTCTTCGTGGGTCAAAATTCATTTTATTTTTTTTTTTCTTTATTTCTTTTTTGTACCTCTTTCTCTATTTTTTCTTAAATGGGTCCATTCCTACAGGCCTAACGTAACCTAAATATGGCCCGATGTATTCTTAATAATAGACTTATCTACTTAGAATTTTATGCTGATGGTGAATATAGACAAATATTTCGAGATGTTGTAAACAATTCCTCTAAAACAAAAATCCTAAATTTGCACCCATTGACAATGATAAAGGATTATACTTAAAGGATAAATTATTTATACTGAATTATTGGACCTTATATGTGAATTCCTACATTTACGATGATGCCGTGTGAAACTTTATGAAGCGAATTAATAATTTGCTCGTAAATTTCTCCAGATACATAATCCAAAAAAATCTCCACATATCATTTTTCGTCCACTCTGTGGATTTTTTCATCTCTTCTAATTAGAACAGGATTTATAATGAACTATAGGCCCAAACATCTGAATACCTTTATTTATGTCGACGCCATGTGATACTTTATGAAGCGATTTAATAATTTGCTCGTATATTTCTCCAGATACTTAATCTAAAGATAAATTGCCACAAATCATTTTTTCATCCACTCTGCGAATTTTTTCATCTGTTCTAATCTTAGATCAAACACAAACGAAATACCTTGTTTAAAAAAACAGTGTATGTGTGTATGTACATTCCATAGCCGAACAACACCAATGAGCACACGACAGCCACACAGCCCGGCTAGCTCAGTCGGTAGAGCATGAGACTCTTAATCTCAGGGTCGTGGGTTCGAGCCCCACGTTGGGCGCACTTGATTTTTTTTTTTTAATTTTGTAAATAATTTAGAAATCTTATAAGGAGCCAAAATGGCATTAAATGTCATAAACAAAATATTTATTGTAAAGAAATCTGCAGCGTAATATTTTTTTAAATATTTTTAAAGACAAAACTAAAGATAATTAAAGTAGAGCGCAAAATTGAAATTCTTTATAATATTTTCAAAATGTGTATACAGTTTTTTTTTACATCAAGAATATTGAATTTTCCTAGATAAAAAAATTAAAATGGAGAATTGCAAAATTGTATATAAAGGCCCACGTTTTACTAAAGCCCCCATATAATGGTCCCTTCGGAAATTCGGTATTTTCATGATTTAACGGATGATTTTCTAACGGATTTGCCTAAAATTTTGTATTGGTAGTTCTTAATGGGCTCTAGCTCCGGTGGCAGAACAGTATATACAGGTCTAAATTTTCGTAGAGCGCCCACTGTATCTCCGATATTCGGTATTTTGATCACTTTAGACACATATTTTAGGATTTTTTTTCTGGAATTTTTTATTTACAGTTTTCAATGGAGTTTACCTCCTGTGACATACATTTGTCTATATATTTTCCTATAGCCCCCATATAACGGTACCTCCAAATATTCGATATTTTTACGATTTGCGATTTTTAGTTCATCATGGGTTCTACAACCGGTATAAAAAAATTTCCATAGTAGTCTGAAATTTCCATATGACAGTACCCGCCGAAATTCGGTAGTTTGATGATTCAAACACATGTTTTCACGCAATTGTTTAATAGATAACAATCTCTATAGTAGAAAATTGTCTTTAGAGGTTCCCGGTTTGGTGTAGCCTCCATATAGAAGTTCTTGGTATTTGGAACACTTGAACTGCATTCTCCCACCCATCCCAACAACCGAAAATTTAACATGTTTCAATTCATGTTGTAACATAATGGTGGTAGGGTTCTTCCCTTCTCCCTCAAATCTATATCAAATCTCTAACACTAGAACATATGAACACCATTTGGAGTAGTTGTCTTATTTTTTTTTTTTTCAATTCTATTTACAAATTGGGGAAAAAATTAGACTACTCTTATTTAATGAATAAATTTATCTTGCCATATTCACGTATTTTGAGAAAGATTATAACCAAGCTATCTTCTTAATTTATTTCCGTAAAAAATTAATTTCAAAAGTATTCAGGTTCAATTTTACCTTCCATTAGTTAATCATCCCAACTTTTGCGTATTCTGCGTGTGTCTATAAATTTCATTAAATTGGGGTATTAATAACTGTGAATAGCATCATCACATCCATTCATTCCGTCACCCCATTCACAGTGAATGAAAAAAATTCGTCTGCTTGTGTGTGCATTGTTTTGTTGGTGATATGAAAAGCATAGCTTATGTTTA